GTATGTATATTTAATTTACATAAATGGTATTGTTATAGATCTCATTGTGTTTCTTTTTAAACTTAGTGCTGTGTTTCTAAGCTCCGTCCATGTTGTTAGTCTATTGCTTCTGATTGCTGCATAGTACTTCTTGGTCTGCATCTGGCACATTTTATCTGTCTGCTGACACTATGAATGTTTTATACTCGAACCCAGAGTTTCATCACTACCTAACACAGAAGTTCTCAACCCTATCAGACTCAATAATCTTTCTTAAATAACAAAAGTATTATAATGTCTCCTTTATTATTCTGCAATGACATTCACAGATAATATAACCTACTGTGGTGGGCAGCCTCTCAGAGAGCCCCCAGTGATGTCTGCCTTCTAATATACTCATCCTTATGTAATCCCCTCTCTTTGTGTATGGGCTGCAATTATTGATTTCTAGTAAACAGAATAGGACAGAAGTGATGGGATGTCACTTCCAAGGTTAGGTTACAAAACAACAACAACAACAACAACAACAACAACAACAACAACAACAACTGTGGCTTCTGTGTCTTGGATGTTCCTGGTTCTCTCCCTCACCTGTGCTAATTGAAGCCAGCTGCCATGTTGTAAGCTGCTGTGTGGAGAGGACCATGTGGCAGGAAACTGAGGGAGGCCTCTGGCAATAGCCAATGAAGAACTAGGCCCTTAGTCTAACAACCTAAAGGAACTGAATCCTGCTGACAACCGTGAGAGTGATTTTGGAAGTGCATCTTTCCCCATCAATACTTCAGATGAGACTGCAGCCCCAGCCAACACCCTGACTGCAATATAAGGGACCTTGAGCCAACTAAACTGCACCCAGATTCCTGAACCACAGAAACTGTGTGATAGATGTTTGCCTTAAGCCACTAAGTTTGGAGAGAATTTGTTACACAGCAATAAATAACAAATGTATTTAACTACCCAATAATTTAAAAATAATATATAATGCCCTAATGTAATATAAAGGTAAAATACAGACAGTGAATTATAATACGTGTTTCAATATGTGAATGCTCAGGCATGACTACAGCAGGGGGTATAATGGTTTCAGATGCTTGGACCTATATGTAGAATCACAATGAATGTGGGAGCTACAAAAGCATTATCACCCAGTGAGTATGGGCTACCCAAATTATTACAAGTGATTTGGCCTTTGGTGACGTTATTTCCTGAAATGGTTCACAGCTCTTGGTAAGTTTCAAACAAAACAAAGTATACACCTCTCCACTTCTATGGTACTTGCTATTTTGGGAAAAACTCTGGTTCATTCCTCCCTGTGTATCTTTCCTCTTTACTTTCACACAGGACACTTCACTTCTGACACTTCTGGTCACTAAATGTGGGTTTTTTTCCCACAGCAAACAATTCTGTGACACTGTTGGGTGTCCTACAATTTAATTCAATTTAATTCAAGTCTAATTTAATTCAATTAGATCCCACGAGTTAAGGGTGCAGTTCCACCAGACTGCTTCCCACTTTAGATGCCAGTTACAAGTAGTAGGTGCCAGAGTCCCCACCTTCTGTCCAACTTGGCTATAAATCAGAGGTTCCCATGACTTCCTCCCCCTTGGATTTATTTGCTAGAACACCTCACAGAACTAATGGAAACATTTACTTAGATGAACAGCCTATGATGAGAGCGAGGTCTGGAAGGGTCCTAAGTGAAGAGCTTCTCTGTCCTTGTGGAGTTGGGGGTGTGTCATTCTCTTCATAGGTGGGTATGTTCCCCAACCTGGAAGCTCTCCAAAACCCCTACTATTGGGATTTTTATGCCTCATGTAGGCATGATCAATTATTAACTACATTTCCAGCTTCCCTCCCCCGTCTGGAGAATGGGAGCTGGGGCTGAAAACCCCAACCTTCTAATCATGGCTTGGTCTTTCTGGTGACCAGCCCCCATCTAGGATCCCATCCTAAATTGCCTCATAAGAACAAAAGATGCTCCTATGCTCTTATCACCAAGGAAATTGCAAGGGTTTTAGGAGTTCTGTGCCAGAAACTGGCAGCAGAGACCCATAAATATTTTTTTTTATTATCTCATAGTTTCATTCCTAGAAAATTAAATGTAAGTTAAAAGCATAGGACATGCTTTGTGTCTATATTTTAACAAAGGTTCTAGGTTCAGATAGTTAGATTTTTCACTTGCATGAATGTTTAGCAGGACATTCAGAAACATTGTGAAACAACTTTTCCTTGTGTGGTATCGTGTCTTGCATTGCATAACATTTTATATCCCTACCTTTAGCCTTCTAACGCCCGTGTTTTTCCCAATTACTGTTCTGATCAAAAAACTCCACACAAATATTGAATCCTCAGTCTAAAGGGTAGTATCACCCCCTTAAAAACTAGTAGCGAAGAAAAACACACCCGACAACCGGTATAGTGCTTGGCAATTAATAATAGTGTAACTGAAAGTTGTTAAAATCGTTTAAGTACACTCTTCGGGCAGCCCAAGGACTGCTAGGACCCCCAACGATGCATAACTACACAGCCCCAAATCAGGAAGAGGTGATTCGATATGTAGAAGCAAATTCAGGGTCACAAGGAGATACACGCCCCCTTTACTTTGCGAATGTTTAATTAATCTGTGATCTTGAACACAGAGCCTAGAGCTCATCCCTCTCTCCCTAAACTCGGCTTGGGTCCCCTGTTAGCTTGTCTCCGCGCATTTTCCACCCCAGCTGGCCGGCCGGGACTAGGCTCCGTCTCGCCTCGCCCCGCCCCTCCCTGCGCGTCACCGGAAGTGAGGCCGCGGATATAGTAAAACCCGCTGGGAGCGAGGCGGCTGAGTCCTGTAAGCTGGCTGGTGGCATGGCAGACGAGGAGGAAGATCCTACCGTGAGTGACCACCACTGTTACAACCCAGTCCTTTCTTCACTCCCTGGGGTGCAGAAGTGGAACTCGAGTTCAGAGTCACTCGAGGTTTTCCTTCGCGAATTCACTGGAGAGAGTTCGGGGACTTCACGCCGTGCTAGCCCTTCCCTCCCGATTCATCTCTTAGTGTGTGGGGCAGGACGTGAAGAGTGGGAAGGTGGCCCCTTGCCCTTTGCTTTTGGTCTCTATTTGTCAGACACTCTTTGAATCGCCTGGAGAATCATCATAGGACGAAGCTAATTATTTTTAGCTCTCATTATGAACCAACACTTCAGCTAGTAACAAAACTATATACTTACTGTAAAGTAGTGGGAATAATGGACCGAAAGTCAGGGAATTTGTGTTTCAAAATCTCTATTATCTATGAGCAAGTTACTTAACTTTGAGCCTTGGTTTTCGTGTCGTAAAATGGGGTTAAGGCTTACTTGAAGAAAGTTCCTGGCACTGTATAAGCAATGCTTAATAAAAAATAAAGATAGTTTTACTTACTTCGATTCACTCTTAACAGTAAAACTGTGTAGTAATAGGCTAACCAGTTGGTTTAAAAAAAAAAAAAAGTACGGTCATTGAAACGCTTCCAGCAGAGGCAGTAAAATTATTTGTTAGGGACACTGTAGGAGAGCCATTCCTGCATTGAGTGGGAAGTTGGACTGGATAGTCTTTAAGGCTCCTGAAATGCTAAGGTTTCATGATTTTTTTGCTGCATGTCTTAGGCTTTCTGGCATGATAATTAGTGTTGAAAGTGGAAAAAAATTAATGTTAATTGCTTAAAAATCAAATGCAGTGCTTGACATTTCTGTATATACATTTTTAACTTACAGTTTGAGGAAGAAAGTGAAGAAATTGGAGGAGGTGCAGAAGGTGGACAGGGTAAAAGGAAGAGACTTTTTTCTAAAGAATGTAAGTAATATTTGACAATGATTTAATTATAGATGATAAAAACTTTTGGACATGTTTGTTCAAAGTAGATTAATGTTCTGAATGTGTTTCCCTGTAGGGACAATATTCTCAGACTTGCCTGTAAGATTGTTTAACTTGTGAATCATGGATAGTAATGATCCTGACCCCAATTTATATGTTTGTATGTGGGTAGGTGGGTTTTGTGTGTACACATTTTGAAAAATTTTTATTTTAGAGACAGAAAGAACGCACATGCTGGGGAGAACACACATGCTGGGGGGGGGGAGAGAGAGAGAGAGAGAGAGAGAAACTCAAGCATGCTTCACGCTCAGTGTGGAGCCCAACTTGGGGCTCAATCCCATGACCCTGGGACTGACTACAACCTGAGCTGAAATCAAGAGTCAGTCACTCAACCAACTGAGCCACCTAGGTTCCCCCACATTTTTTTTTAATACACAGTTTTTTAAAATGAGGAAATGTGATCAGTGTTTCAACTCAGGGACTAAGAACATACCTCCATTACTTTTTATGTCCTTTACTATTGCAGCAGTAGGAGCAGGGACTCCTTTGACTGTAAGTCAAAAATTATAATGGATCTTGGAACAGGTGCTGAGGGTAGGAATTAAGTTGGGGCTGTGGACTAAGGCATTGGAAAATACAGAAAAATGGTGAACAGTGTAAGGCATTACAGTGGCTTGGAAATTATAATGTATTGATTGGTTCTCTAGTGTATTCCCTCAATAGACAGGTTTGACCCTTTTTGGCAAGTAAGTGGAAGAGCTGCTGTGTCTAGTGATGGTCAAAGCCAGCCCATGAAAGGCACTGTGAGAATGCACTCTCCAACCTGTGTCCTTTACATATAGTTATGGCTGAGTATTAACAAATGAATATATGGTTTATTTATGCTGGGTCAGGCTCAGTCATTTCCAAATGCTCTTGAAACTGCAGGCACGGGGCGCCTGGGTGGCACAGTCGGTTGAGCGTCCGACTTCAGCCAGGTCACGATCTCGCGGTCCGTGAGTTCGAGCCCCGCGTCGGGCTCTGGGCTGATGGCTCAGGGCCTGGAGCCTGTTTCTGATTCTGTGTCTCCCTCTCTCTCTGCCCCTTGCCCGTTCATGCTCTGTCTCTCTCTGTCCCAAAAATAAATAAACGTTGAAAAAAAAAAAATTAAAAAAAAAAAAAAAGAAACTGCAGGCGGTATGTCTTTTTATTTTTATATTTTTAATGACTCAAATCCTCCATATCTCAATTTCTCACCTAAAGCTGACCAGTGTTTGTTTTTTTTTTTTAATTTTTTTTCAACGTTTTTTATTTATTTTTGGGACAGAGAGAGACAGAGCATGAACGGGGGAGGGGCAGAGAGAGAGGGAGACACAGAATCGGAAACAGGCTCCAGGCTCTGAGTCATCAGCCCAGAGCCCGACGCGGGGCTCGAACTCACGGACCGCGAGATCGTGACCTGGCTGAAGTCAGACGCTTAACCGACTGTGCCACCCAGGCGCCCCGGCTGACCAGTGTTTAATCCATCTCTGATACTGTTTACTCCATTTGTATGTGTTTTTGCTTCTTAATCAGCATAAGAAGGGGATTCCCACAGTAGAGCATCTCAGTGTGATGTTTGCATAGTCAATTGTTAGCAGAAACCTTTGTTCTACTTGAATTGCTTTATTTTTGTGATGATAAGAATTTGGAATCTTCACAGCCTTCTGGTCTTACCTGAATCTTGATATGTTACTGGCCAAGATCTGTTCTCCTAAATCTTCTTCTTAAAAAATTTTTTGCTACTATAACACAAAGTTTCAAAGCATTCGCTGGTATTTGTATCTTTACAAACCTTTTAACCAAGTGCAGTTTACATACATACTGGTGAATTATGCCCATCAAAATGTTCATGACAAAGTATCTTACTCAAAATATTTAAGGAAAAATAGTAAGCTTACAATGGAGAATCCTGGCAGACAAGTAATGTCTAAAATGTTAGCTAAATGATCAAAGTCAACATCACCAGTAATATATATTAACATCACGTGATGCATTAAGATTGCACATCAAGGGCGCCTGGGTGGCTCAGTCAGTTAAGAGAGCACATCACCTCTATGGTATCCTTTCTACTAATGGGTACCCACAGCCTAATAATGGAAGAACACCAGACAAACCCAAATTGGGGAACACTACACGATAACTAACCAGGAGTCTTCTACAGTGTCAAGGTCATAAAAGACTAGAAAAGTCTGAGGAACTGTCACTGATCAGTGAAAAGTAAAGAGGCATGGTAATTAAATAACGTGGGATCTTGAAATGGAAAAAGGATATCAGTTGAAAAACTGGTACAATCTGAGTAAGTTCTATATTTGTACCAATGTTAATTTCTTAGTTTTGATAAATGTCTTTGGTTATATAAGATGTTAAAATAAGGGGAAGGTGGATGTAGGGTATTTGGGAACTCTACTATTTTTTGCAACTCTTCTGTAAGTCTGAAATATCTCAAAAAAAAAAAAAAAAGCAAAGTTGTCAGAATCTAAAGGAGAAAAAAAAATACTTGTTTTCTACTCCCTGTATCTGGACATAAAGGCTCTTACCAGTTTAAACTCTAGGGATACCTCTGTCCCAGGCTAACTTCCAAGTCGCCCCTTTCTTTTCTTCCCTAGGCTTGATCTATTCTAGTCTCTTTTCAGTTCTACCAGCTTTTGCTTCTCCTAAATAGAAATTATTCTTAATGTACTCATTTCTTCATTATTTTTTTTAACTTTTTAAAATATTTAATTTTGAGAGAGAGAGAGAGAGAGAGAGAGAGAGAGAGAGACAGAGACAGACAGAGCAGGAGTGGGGGAGGGGCAGTGAGAAAGGGAGATACAGAATCCTAAGCAGGCTCCAGACTCTGAACTGACAGCACAGAGCCCAATGCGAGACTCAAACCCATGAACTGCAAGATCATGATCTGAGCTGAAGTTGGCCACTTAACCAACTGAGCTACCCAGGTGCCCCTCATGTCTTCCGTTAGAAATGTCCTAGGAGTTCCTTTTTTTTCTTTACTGTACTTAAAATAAATTGTATTAGTCTTAAATGAACAACTTAATGAATTTTACTTATTTACATATGACCACCACTCAGATCCATATACAAAACATTTCCAACCTGTGACCTTTTTTTTTTTTTTTTAACATTTATATACCCCTTTCTGAACTGTTAAGAACAGATTGTTCTTTCAAGAAAAATGCGCACACAAATAGTGTATACAATTTTTGCATTTAATTTCAGAAGGCCTCAAGGATTTCTTAGAGCCTATCCATGGACTAACTGGGAGTTTATAGACTATAGGATGAGAATCCACATGGATTCCATCTGCCTTAAACTACCAAGAAGTGTAATACTGTTAAGAGGAGGAATATTGACTCTGGAGCAAGATCGGTTGCATTCAAACTGAGGTTCCATCTCTTACGTCTGTGTGGAAAATCACTTAGCTTGGGTAAATCACTTAGCTCAGTGCCTCCATTTTCTCATCTATATGGAATAGGTATAATAATAGTATCTACTTCAAAGGATTGTTGTGAGGTTTAAATGAGTTATGTATGTGAAAGGCTTAAAACTATATCCCTGGTACATAGTAAGGTCTATGTAAGTTTTAGCTGTTAGCACCCATTTTTATTACTCTGTATTAGACTTTTCTTCTCTTTTGCATTTTCTATGGTTCTTTCGGTTGAAGCCTGAAAGGACTTTATTAGCAGTGCATTGATCTAGGAAATGAAATGTCAAGATTCCACATAGTTCGCTTTCTCCTTTTGATTACCGTGTTCTTCCTATAAGAAGCAATTAGAGCACTTTCTTTCATGTCCTTTTTCCTATGTTAGTATCAGAAAGGATTTTGCCTTCTCTTTTCCAATGCCCCCCGGGCCGCCCCCCCCGGCCCCCCCCCCCCCCCCCCATACACACACAGAATACTCCCAGTAAGAGCTGAGCCATTGCTACTCATCCTGTCCCTGGCATGGAGTTTCCTAGTTACAGGTATTCTGGGGTTGTTGGTGAATAGATAATAGAGATTAGGGAAAGAATATTGATATCAGGGTTCAGTGGCTGGGAGGGAACAGGAGTTCCTAGTAGGGAAGGACAGGTAGGAACAGTTGTAGGAACAGTTGGTTATGAGATTGTGGTTAAAAGTCTTTTACACCAAAATCCATACTTGCAGACAACAAATATATAATATATGTTTATACAAGTATCTTGTCTTATTTGGTCCATTTCTAATTTGAAAAAGGTATTGGTAAAATTGTTAAATTTGTTCAAGTAAACAAAAATGATTGTTCTTTTGCAGTGCGATGTATGATGTATGGGTTTGGGGATGACCAGAATCCTTATACTGAGTCAGTGGATATTCTTGAAGACCTTGTCATAGAGTTCATCACTGAAATGGTAAGATTTTTTTTTTGTAATTTGTCTTAGTTAATTGAGTAATAGATTTGAAACTCCTTATTTTTTTTTTTAAGATTTTATTTTTGAGAGGGGGAGGGGAGCACACACACACACATGGGGCAGGGGCAGAAGGAGAGGGAGGGAGCATCTCAAGCAGGCTCCATGCCTCATCGTGGAGCCAAACATGGGGCTCTGTCTTAGGACGGGGAGATCATGACCTGGCTCAGTCGGTTAAGCATCTGACTCTTGGTTTCCTCTCAGGTCATGATTTCATGGTTTGGGAGTTCACACTTGAGCCTGCTAGGCATTCTCTCTCTCTCTCCCTCCCATTCTCTTTGCCACTCCCCTCGTCACGCTCTTGAGTACTGTCTCTAAATAAATAAATAAATAAATAAATAAATAAATAAATAAAGTTAAAAAAAATATTTAAGATATATATATATGATATATACATACAAACACACACTCATGTATATGTGCACACACAATATTCTACCTTCTCCTGAATTTTATTTATGAGGACATAATTATAAGATTCTAGAATAAAATTTACAAATATTAACCATAATCCCATTATCTAATGTAAGATCTCCCCTTCCAGTATTTTTTTAAAAATGTATACAGGGGCGCCTGGGTGGCGCAGTCGGTTAAGCGTCCGACTTCAACCAGGTCACGATCTCACGGTCCGTGAGTTCGAGCCCCGCGTCCGGCTCTGGGCTGATGGCTCAGAGCCTGGAGCCTGTTTCCGATTCTGTGTCTCCCTCTCTCTCTGCCCCTTGCCCGTTCATGCTCTGTCTCTCTCTGTCCCAAAAATAAATAAACGTTGAAAAAAAAAAATTAAAAAAAAAATGTATACAGTGCTTAAAAAAAAAAATTAAATTAAAAAAAGGGGCGCCTGGGTGGCTCAGTCGGTTAGGTGTCCAACTTCAGCTCAGGTCATGATCTCACAGTTCACAAGTTCAAGCCCTGCTTCGGGCTCTGTGCTGACAGCTCAGAGCTTGGAGCCTGCTTGGGATTCTGTGTCTCCCTCTCTCTCTGTGTTCATCCCCTGTTCGTACTTTGTCTCTCTCTCTCTCCCAAAGGTAAATAAACATTAAAAAAAAAATGTGTACAGTGCTTACATATAGTGGTAATCATAGTAAACATTTCTTTTACTCAGAGTTTTATAATATATATTTTCTACATTCTAATCACAATTATTTTAGTAGTTAGATGAAATTCATTTAAATTGTTTTCTAATATATTTAACCATTTCTCTCTTGCATAAGTTAGTAGATTATTTTGATCTAAATAGATATGATCGTATTCATGAAATTTCCTCCCATCTCCTCCTTGGATATATTCACAGGGATAGGAATACTGAGTTTGGTTGTGTTCTTGTGAGTTTTTACCCTGTGTTATGGATTATTTCCTTAGTATAGAATAATAGAAGTAAAATTCCTGTCAGAGAGTATGCATTAAATTTTTTTCCATTTATAAAAAGAATATTTGTTAAATTTAAGAATTATAAAAAAGTACAGGAGAGAAAATAGAAATCTGTAATCCTGCCATCTAGACAACTAATGCTCAGATTTTGGTGAATACTTTTTTGGTTTTTTGCACATATTTTTAAACTTTATTAAATTGAAATCATATAGTGTATTTAGTCTTAGAGCCTTCTTTTTCACTTACGTAAGTAGAACACTTTCCCCATGTCATTGCATAATCTATAAATATTTTTAATGGCTTCATAATATCAATTGGTTGGATGTACCCAAATTTGTTTATTTAATGCCTTATTAAACACTTAATTTCCCCTTTTTTAGTCCTTAGAAATAATATTATGATGAACCTTTGTTTTTGCACAGGATGAATATATGATAGGAGATGAGATTTATTTGAATTTAAGGGGAAAACTCACCACTGTTTGTTTATTTTTACTCACCGCTATTTATTCGTTACTAGACAAAGCTTAAACGAAATATGCAGTTACAATGAAATTATAGAATTATTTTATACAAATGAAGACAAAGACTAGGTATACCAAAAAACAAAAAAAAAGAAACAATAAATTTGGTAGTTTTAATGTCATTAGTATTAAAAAATGTCTATAAAACATTAAGCATCACTATAACACAGTAGCAAGTGGACAAAGGACATGAATATAAACACAATTAACAAATGAATAGCTATAAATAGAAGAGAAAGTCTTCAAACTCACCAGTATTAAGTAAATGCAAATAAAAAGTAAAATATTAGATTTTTTAAAATTAATTTATTTCTTTGTAATAGACTCACAAGGCAATGTCAATTGGAAGACAAGGTCGGGTACAAGTTGAAGATATCGTCTTCTTGATTCGAAAGGACCCAAGGAAGTTTGCTAGGGTTAAAGACTTGCTTACTATGAATGAAGAATTGAAACGAGCTAGAAAAGCATTTGATGAGGCAAACTATGGATCTTGACACCTTTTGTACTTTCTGAAGCTTCATTATCTTCTGGGGAAAGCATATATAATAACTGTATATTTTCCACTGTAAGGTCTCTATATCTAGCCATGAAGGTGAAGGATGGAGGAACACAAAGTTTTCCATTTTTTTTTTCATGTCTTCAATTTTAGAGTGATATTTGAGCCTTGAATTGTCTGCCATTATACTACTATACTTGAATTACTTACTGGGTTTTAATGACCACATGTGAGTTGAAGTACCTTGCAAACCATGCAGTTCCTTCTGACTTTTGACTGTCTAAATGATGAAGTAGTATTTATGTATTAGGTATTTGTGCCATTAGGTGTAGGCTATACTGTAGCTGTTTAATATATGAAATCTAAAGGGCACCTTCGACTATGATAGCTAAGACGTGTTTCATGTCTTCTAAAGTTTTTAGACTATAGTAGTCTAAGAGATTATTAAAAGATAGTGAGCTGGTTTGCTTTTTTTTAGGGAGAAGATACAAAAAAAATACAGTCTTTTGTAGGAGTGTTTATAGTAGTCTAGGAGGTTATTAAAAGATAGTGAACTGGTTTGTGTTTTTTTAGGGAGAAGATACAAGAAAATACAGTCTTTTGTAGGAATGTTTATCTGTCTTGAGATATTTGTTGTTTAATATTCTTTTCTTTAGATAACAAGAATGTTGGCTT